CATGCAGTCAGTGTAGTTAGCAGATATATGGATAATACATGAAAAGAGCATTGGCTAGCTGTAAAGTGGATTCTTCGGTATTTGAAAGGTACTGCAGATATTGGCTTAGTTTATCAAAAGAGCAGTGATGATTTTCGCAGCGTTGTTGGTTTTGTGGACTCCGACTACGCTGGTGATTTAGACAGAAGAAAATCTCTGATAGGATACGTCTTTACACTCTCAGGTTGTGCAATTAGTTGGAAAGCAACCTTGCAATCTACAGTTGCTCTCTCTACTACAGAAGCAGAATATATGGCGGCCACTGAAGCAGTGAAGGAAGCCATTTGGTTGAGAGGTTTGGTTAGTGTTTTGGGTTTGCAGCAGAGCTCAACTGTTATTTATTGTGATACTCAGAGTGCGATATATTTGATCAAAAATCAAATCTATCATGAGAAAACCAAACACATTGATGTCAGATATCATTTTATTCGGGATGTCATATCAAAAGGAATTACTACATTAAAGAAAATTGGCACAGCTGAAAATCCAGCGGATATGATGACAAAGTCCATTCCGGCTCTCAAGTTCAAGCATTGCTTGGACTAGGTTGGTATTCTCAAATGTTGAAATTGCCCTTAGGGGCTTAGTGGAGAAGACAGTTTATTTTGCATAAATACAGTGGCTCATTTGAATTTTTTGCCAAGGTGGAGATTTGTTGACTTTTATGGCTCAAATTGATGTCAGCTGACCGGTCCTTGCCTTTACAACAAGGGTCGCGATACCAAGTCAAGCTTGAAGAGTTGTGAATTTAGGAGGTGGCCAAGTTTTACATTTATAAAAAGCCACTACTACCTTTCTCTATATAAAATATAGATAGGGCGAGTAGGGATCGTCCCAAGGGATTTGATGATGTATCGAATTATGAAACTATGGTAATTAGGGTTAGTAGGTCGAGTGATCACACAATTGATTGGTTGGTTGATTAAGCTAAATTGAATTCAACTAAATAAAATAATATGAAGTAAACAAGAGAGAGAGAGGTCTTGGGGTGTAGAGATCACCACCAAGCAATACTTTTCTATACTACTAATAAGTGATCAATTGAGGGTAATGGATGTGTTGCAATATGATAAGGGTGTGTGTGCATTAGGTTGATTCAATTGGCAAGGATTACAAATCAAGCAAGTATTGTCTAAACATCATGTGAAGAGCACAATATATCTAAACAATAGAGCATATATTGTCTAGACAATATGGGGATAGCACAATAGATCAAAACAAGTCATTAATCCTTCATTAAGCTCACAATCCACATACAACACAATATTAGAGGAATATGCCATTTGGACTCACAAGCATGGAACATCAAACATCAAGAGTAGATTGTCCTCCCATCTAACATTACACTACCACTACACTAAATCTACACTACTAGCATGAAAATAAAGCTATCTAGACTAGGGGAGAGGCACAAACCATCAAGAATAGGCATAAACCATCAAATGAACCAAAATAGCATTCATTAAGCATATCATCTTGATAATCTCTAGATCTATAACATCAATACACATAGACATGCATCAAAAACACTAAATCTAGAGATAAGCACATGAATATCCTACTCTAGCATACATAGACATATGGATAGCATAGAATAGTCAATTGGAAGCATTAAACCATACAAACCATGAAATAATCAAGATTTATATATACATGAATATCAAGATGTATCATACAACACTAATCCCTCAATAATACACAAGATTAGAGTATAGAAAGCATGCTTGGGGCTAACTCTAGCCCCAAGAGGATGTCTAGCCACTCATGGTAGTGATGATCCAACTCTCAAGGGCTAACTCCATGGCTGCTCCTTGTTGGTGAAGGTCTCCTCCAATGGTGCTCTAGCTTCCCACCTTCCTCCTCTCCAAGAATAGCCTCTAAAATGATTTTTTTAATGTGTGACAAGAGACTCTCCCTCAAAAAGTGTATCATATTCCTTATATAGGTAGGTCAAATACACCCCATGATGAGCTGTGGTCGTGCAAGGCATATTCTCCAATCATTGGATGAAGGACGGTATAAATGAGCTGGACTTTAACTTTTTCTCGTTGGAGGAAGTTCGATCGATCGAACCTTAACTTGGATCGATCGAACTGCATCTTGGATCGATCGAAGTGGTCTGACTCCTCCGAATAAGGACAAGGCTGAGATATTTCGAAGATATTTATGGGGAAAAAGACAAAAGTGGTTGGTAGGCGTACAGCTGTCGATCGATCGAAGGTGATGTTCGATCGATCGAACTTGGAATTTCAGCAAAGGCCAAAGTTGGATCTATCGAGAAGTACTGTGATCGATCATAGATGTTCGATCGATCAAACTCTAAGTTGGATCGATCGAACTTTTCAGCTGCACAACTTGATTCCTTTTTACTCCTTTCTTTCTCCACTTTGCTCCCTCCTTTGGTTTATCTCAGGATTGCTTCAATTAAGCTCTTATTTGGCTGAGTTAGCACAATTTTGGGATTAGTGCCTGAAAATATAAATAACACGTAATAAGTCTAAAACGGCAAAGTAAGATAGATAAAGGTACTAGAATGCTTAAGCTTAACGGGTTTAAATGCGCACTTTTCAGTGCTCATCATCAGCAATTACATCATTTTTTGAAACACCCATTACTTCATCATTCTTGGCAGCCAAGGAGTGTATTCTGCAAGCTTCCCATGTGTGGTCTCCAAGTCCTAGCATTTCTTGGTCACCAAGTATACAAACAGTGTGTAGATATGTTGCCTATAAATAGCCTAGCCCATGGCATCCAAGTATCATCCAAAATTAAGTGTAAAATTTGCTTAGTAAAGAAAAGCAAAGAGTGAGAGAGTTTTGGGTGTAATTGGGTTTTGGGTGTGAGTCACTTAAGCGTTGTATCTCTCTATTTTCATAGTGAAATATTGTTCTGTCTTCTCCTTGTGGATGTAGGTACAGCCGAACCACGTAAATCCTTGTCTCGTTTGTGAGTACCATTTTATTTTTCTTATCATTAATTTTCTATTGTTCTTATAAACTCCTACTCGATCCTTATTTCATAACAGGGTGCATTAGTGTGGTTGCAGTGCGTTGAAAATATGCAAGTTCAGGATCAGAGAGTAAGGGCAAATCGAGACTGGTTTATTGGTCAGCTGGAGCTGCTGTCACCATTTGTGTCATGACCACTTGTTTGTTGGGTTTGTGGTGCTGGTGGAAGAGATGGAGGTTGAAGAAGAATAAATCATCAAACGGTTCTTCAGGTAATATTGGGTTTGATTCAGATGATAAAAGAACACATCTTTATTGGTGACTCAAGTTTGGAGTGAAAAAGTTCAAGATTCAAGAGCTTGAGAAGGCAACTGATAATTTTTTGCCCAAGAATGAAATTGGGTGAGGCCAGTTTGTGATAGTCTACAAAGGGATACTGCAAGATGGAACAATAGTAGCCGTTAAAAAGATCACAGAATCAGAAAATCAAGGCGCTGCTGAATTTTGCAATGAAGTGGAGATCATTAGCACATTAAAGTACCGGAATCTAATGCAGCTTAGAGGGTGTTATGTGATGGATGAAGATGAGAAGAATGGAAATGGAGTGTGTTGTAGATATCTTGTTTATGATTACATGCCAAATGGGAATCTCAAAGACCATTTATTTTTTTTGCCAGAAAATGGGAATTGGATTGAGACGAAACCGTTGACTTGGCCTCAAAGGAGGAGCATAATCTTGGATGTGGTGAAGGGTCTGGCTTATCTTCACTATGGGGTGGAGCCTGCAATATATCATAGAGATATTAAGTCCACAAATATACTACTAGATGCAGATATGAGAGCAAAAGTGGCAGATTTTGGGTTAGTGAAACAAAACAGATAAGTAGTGCAGCCGCCTCATCTCATGACCGCCAGAGTGGCCGATACACATGGTTACTTAGCCCCAGAATATGCATTTTACGGGCAATTGGCAGAAAAGAGTGATGTTTATAGCTTCGAAGTAGTTATGTTGGAAATCATGTCCGGGCGAAAAGCACTTCATTTGTCATCCTCAGGATCGCGGTGCACATTTTTTTATCACAAATTGGGCCTGGTCATTGATGAAAGCATGCAATGTAGAGGAGGTTTTAGGTGCTTCAATGTTAGGAGATAATGAATTTGCCAATCCAATTTCCAAGGAGATAATGGTAAGATTTGTACTTGTTGGGATTTTGTGTGCTCACGCGATAACGGCCTCGAGGCCTATCATTTTGGACACATTGAAGATGTTGGAAGGAGATATGGAGGTTCTTGCAATCTCAGATCCGTTCGTTTATGGTGGCGGAACATATTGCCTTAATTGAGCTTTCATATAGATGAAATATGCTGCTAAACAATGTAGCCCGCCAAGGGCTGAAGTAATGCTACAATGCCCAATCAGTTTTTTGTGCGATGTGAGACTCCGGTAGATAGTTTCCAACAAGGTAGCTTGTACTGGCCAATAACCCCTATTTATAGCTTGTTATTTATATTATATATCTCTTCTCTTTGTTTTTCCTCCGAGTGGTTTTGTTTATATATTTTGATTTGTGTTTCTCAATCTTTGTTCAGATTTGGTTTGCGAGTGGTTGTCTTGCCCTCTTATTTTCGTGTGCCTTCTAAGACCATCTCCAATGCTGAAAGCTATTTCTGCATGCCAAATCTATATTTTGACAGGTGCTACAGTGTCAAAATGCTACATTTTAGCAATTCTGCTCCAATAGTGCATATTATGCAAAATGCTATTTTTTGACACAACCACCATTCATTTTCAACTATCATTTCTAACTACCATTTTCAACTATTATGTCCAACTACCATTCTTTTTCAACTAACAAATGTGTATTTTATTTTATTTTTTTATTTTTTTTGTGAGTGTTTATATTTTATTTTGCTTGTTTGCCTTGTTAAAAATAAATAAATAAATTTGAATCATCAAACCCATGTTTGGCATTTCAATACTACAATTCGGAATGTGTGTGGGTGACCTGAATGGATAAAAATTGAAACCAATATATGCTAACACAAATATAAAATAAAGTTCTTTCTGCATCAAGACGAAGTAGCAGAACATATATCATAGCCCTATATCTGGATTAAGCACTGAAATCTTAAAGGAAGTTGCTCTGTTACTTAAGATTGGGGGTTATTCACGAGCTACACAACTTCAAAGTTCAAACAACTCTTCAATGATCTGAGCAGATCAATCCTACCAATACTAATCTTAGAAACCAGAGATGTATAAGCTTCATGAGGTTGCACTGTCTTCATCATCATCTCCATCACCTTCAGAGTCCTTTGATTGGTCAGTGTTGTCTAACTTCTCGAATGTCAAATGGCGTCCGGTTATATGATCTATTGGATGGGTGTCTTGTGGCCCTCCTTTGCGTCCCATTGCCAACATCAGTGGAGGGGGTAGCAAACCTACTCTGAAAAGTAGGCGTTGGACAGGGTCCGAAGGCTGGGCACCAACTGATAACCAATATCTGCAGAAAGAGGGAAAACATTACAGCGGAATTAAAAAAGGAGAACAGGGAAAAATAACTTTTGGAGTAATTAGAGTTTTGCTTGAAATTAAATACAACTGAGATCTAGGTATCAGTCTCCATTGGTGTCGTGAATGAATTTGTTACAAAGTAGAAGTACAAAAACGGTGGAACGTTTTCAAGAGCTAGGTTTATTCTCTAAAAAAAATTTATCTTAAAGTCCATTAAAAACCAGCCTGAACCAAACTCCATTTGGTCTAGAAACTTGCATCTCTGCAACAAACTCCCTCAAACCAGAAACATCCCCAGCAAAAAACTGTCAAGAATACCAAAATAAAAAATAAAAAAAAAAAAAGCGCAACAGCAAAACTATTCAAAGGCCTGCTCAAACATGTAAAAATCTTGAAATCAGATGAGACCAGCCCATTGTTATTAACCAAACTCCAAAACAAACAACCTGAAGGCATTCCATTTGAAGCCAGAGCTTGAACCAGCTCTGCAACAACATCAAAATTAGATCACAAACACTACACGATATATACAGAAAAAACTAAACCTTAATTGTGTGTTAGTATAGTTTCTACTCCAAGAGAGCTATATGGGTATGTTCTCAAGGAAAAAGGCAGCCTCTATAAATCTTTTAGTGAATGAAATTTTCAAATATGTTAAATCTGATAAAATATTTTCTAAAATTAGTGTACAAAATACTAATGAATTTTTTATTTATTAAGTCACGAGAAAATTTTGTCAAGCTAATTCTCTCTTCCACACTAGATTATTCCAAGAATCACAAATACTGTAAGATCTAGATTAGCTTCAGAACAGATCACTAACACTGCACGATATATATTTCAGAACAATGGGAAATCAGCAATGCAATCATGGTAGTTCTTTCAGGGAAGCTATAATAGTTGAAATCCTTTTTTAGGACATTCCTCCGGTGATTATTTGTTTTCTATCATTTGTTTTACTGATATCTCTACATCCTTGCACTGATGGTGCTGGTGTTTAAATGACATACAATATATAGTTTCCATGAAAACCAATGATATATTTCAATGTTATTTTAGTATTTTAGAGTAAAATTCAACCACAAAATATATACATAGTTTTATGCAATGTTTAAACAAAAGAAACTTTCTTTTAGCAAAGTTTACCCAAAAAAAAAAGAAGTTATTATACTTTATAGTATTTTAGTGGCTGTGTGTGTGTGTGGGGGGGGGGGGGGGGGGGGGGGGGGGGGGGGATGAAACTAATTTTCTTTCCACTTGATGATACAGTATATAAAACAATTCATAGATAAAAGAACAATTAAACATCCTATGATGAATTATCATATACGAATATGGGCATGGAGCACCATTAAGATTGAGAAAAAAATAATCATAATAAATAAATAAATGAAAAATAAAAATGAGAAGTCAAACAAGAATGGAGTTGTGCTCAATAGCAAGAGCCACCCAAATCCACAGCCAAACACTACACCCAATAAATAAAAATAGAACAAATAGTAAGGAAGTGCCTTCAGCTCTCCCAATCATAAGCTAGCCCTGAAAACCCTAATCTTTCCAACTACCAACCCACCAATTTGCACAATGAAAACCCAAATCTTGTCAATAGAAAAAATACATGTGTATAAATATACATCTACATATATATATATATATATACACACACACATACATATATGAGGATGAGAAGGGAAGAGAAAATACAGATCTGAGAATTTACCCAGCCACCGTCGATAATCGCTGTTGTTGCAGATGAGAGGGAGGGAGAGAGAGGTCATTGCAAATGGATGAGAGCGAGAGAGAGACGGTCGGGCAACGAAAGAGAGAGAGACCGATAGGATTGAGGAAAGAGGAACCCACCCACAGAGCAGCTGAAAGAACAAAGCTCAAAAACCCCAAAGGCAAGCCCATAGCGGACAGAGCGAGGAAGAAAAGGAGGAAGTTACAAAAATAGCTATTGCTATACGTTTTGTTACAATTGGCATAAAAAATAGCAAAGTTAAAATGTAGCAACCCAAATAGTATTGCATTAGAGAGCCCATTTTGAAGCTCACCTGCTATATTTTGAATTAGCTCACCTGCTATATTTTGAATTAGCAGCCCATATAGCAGCCCCTTTGGAGATGCTCTGAGGCTTCTTGGCCTTATTGTTTCTGTTAGGCAATGGAGGAATACCCTTTATATACATGCATAGTTATCTTTGTAATTGTTATTTATTTATTTATAAATAATAATAATAGAGTTATTTTTATTTCTTTGTAATAGTTACTTTTAGATGCCTGTTCTGTAGTTTATAAACTTTGTAATTAATGAAAGCCATTCTACTTCCACAAGAAAAAACATACACCAAGCATTAGACATATAATGTGGTACCATATATATTGGGTAAGCCATTAGGCGTATGATATTACGGGATATTACCTTGTATAACCGGCTTACAGTCGCCTTCAACCATGACATTGACGAAGTTCCACTGACAAATCAGCCTCAGCCTCTCGGAAAACCAGAGCTCTCAGAGCTTCGGTTGCTGAAACCGATGAGCTAATCTGCTGAAAAACGGAGGCAATTTGCAACATTTGATTCCTCCACCACAATCAGTTGTATCCGTGTTATAAGCTGCATCAGAACTTCAACTTTAAACAACCATATGAAGGAGGACTTCATTGAATGACAGAGACTTTCTCTGGGATTGGGATTTCCCAACACCTACACTGACATTAGATATTTCAGAAATCATAAAAATCCCAGCAAACTTTATATACAATAACATGAGGACTAGACTTTGTCTTAAAAATTCCACGCATTCCTCTAAACTAATGCAATCAGCTGGATAATCACTCTGGTTCCATTTTTGCATCAACATCATCCATCTACTCTTCCACGAAAAATCAAAAAAATCAAGGCAAAGAAGGCTATAGCACCAAATGGACCAATTTTGAGGGCATTTGCATAGAAGAACATGATCCACAATCAATTAACAAAAACAAAGAAATCTAAACGATTTACGCAGCAAGGCATATATGTTTATTTTTAGAAAGAAAGAAAAAAAATGCAAGTGTGTGTTAAACAATTCCATTTCTTGCTTAGGTGAGTTTGCAGAAGAAAAACGTGAATGTTTAAAGCACATTTGAGGGCCACATTACTCATAAAAGCCATAGTTGATATATAGACAGTGGCTCTGTTTAAAGATTCCGACGAAGTTGCAAGTCTGGATGACCAATTTATTTATGTAAAGTCATTCAAGTGACTGTGGATCAACCCTTCACAGCAGTAACTCTAGCTGCATTGGCTGCTTTGTTGACCGCTGCTAAAGCTTTGTTTACAATCTCATCATCCCTTTCCACATCGTAAGCTTTCTAAGTAGCTCTCTGTACTTCCTGATAGCAAGGCAATACATAATAAGAGACTCTCACAAGTCACAAGTAACTCCTTCAAAAATCAAAATTGCGTGGCGTTACAATTTGAAACAATTTGTTCACTAGTAAAATGTCTTACAGGTAATCTGATCATCTTGGACTCGTTTTCTATTTTCCTGGTTATAGCTTGTCTCTTCCAGCACTAAACATATGTTCACAACTTATATTCCCTATCGGAATTGAATATCCCTGCTCCTTCCTGCAACATGGGAAGGAAAATAAAAAATAAAAAATAAAAAGTCTTAATATAAAGCAAGCAGAAAAGTGGAAAATAAAATGTATAGTGACCTGATCTGAATCAGGTGTTGTAACCTTAATCTCTGATTCTTGCTGACTCATCTCGAGTACACAAAATTTTGTCTCTGGCAGCTCATGTTCCATAGTTTTTTGTAATCTCCCTTTTGACTGCTTCCACCCTGTTTCTTGCTGTAAATTTGCAGAAACTTCATACTAATATGCTGAACAAAACAAGCTACAAATTTCTATCAAGCAATTGGAAAAAAACAAAGCCTCATATTAAAGAGCCATGTGAATTGTGGTTTAGGTTATGATGATCAACTAGTTTTAAATTGTTCAATGTAGCTAAAAGATCATGGTTTTTTTTGGGATATTTAGAAATGGCTAAAGATATATATATGTCAGAAGCTAACTCTAGTAGCTTAGGAGTGGAAGAAACCAAGTAGTAAATACTAGCGGCAACCACTCACTCCCTAAAATCAGAAGATTGCGAGTTTGTCTATTGATGCACCTTTTATCTGTTAGTCATACACAGTGAGTTCTGGCATAAATTAACGAAGACCTGGAAATGGTCAGTCCAGCAAAAGAGTTGTTAGTGGATAATTCTAGTAGACACAGTGTATGGACCTAGTTTCATCATTTCTTACAGGCAAAGTTGTTGTAAGGTAATGCATACCATGAAAACTGGAGTAAATATTGTTTGAAGGAAAGTGATTTAGTCCGTCTTGAATCAGTTATCCAGATATTTTTCTCTCTTTAACAATTTGCACAAATTTTTTTTAACCCAACAATTAAGAGAATGACACTTCATTTTCCATTGTGTTAGATTATATGAAAGTTTTTCCCAAATTATGAAGTTACCATGGCTGGAAAAATGTAAAAAGTTCACAAGCTGGTTCAAAAAAGTTTTAAAAAGTTTAAGCTAATAAGATGTCTCACCTTTGAGATTAAACAAATATGAATAGGAAGAAGAAGACTCTAAAACTAATGCAATTATGTGCTCATAACGCTGCCCCAGAACACGTGCACAAACTGAACATTTGACATTTCCTGAGAAGGTACAAAAGCAAAAATAAGATAATGGTAAAAGGAAATTTCAATGGTATCATCTCCCTTCTTCATTTACATTCATCAAAGTAGCACAAGCAAAAGACACACAAATATATGTATGTATATCTATATATATATATAATTAAGATAAATATATTTTAATCCAAAAATATGTGTTAGAGAGTGTAAATTAAAAAAAAAAATAGAAGAAAGAAATACGAGGATAATTTCTAGTTTTTAGTTGGAATTTGTAATGAAATGTGGAATCTTGTACAATATATTTATAGCAATGATTCTTTTGTACCTGTCCTGTGATGTCTGTGTCTTATTATAAATATAATTACATATATGTATATATTTGTGTGTGTGTGTGTGGTGTAATTTAAAAGCAAAACAAAACGAGAAAAGAAATTTAAAAAAAAATGATGGGACCCACCATTAAACCAATCAAGGGCCAAAGAGACCACATATGGTCTCATTTCTCTCTTCTCCCGCTGGTTCACTCTCTTACCCTCTTTCTCTGGTTTTTTTCTTTTTCTTTGGCCACAAATCCTTGCACGTTGATTTCTCCCTCATTTCTTAGTGTTTTTAAGTGCCGTTTGCGGCAAATTGAAGCCCACAACGAGGTCTTCAAATACGTACCAGCAATTTCAGCTTTTGGCCATTCAAGGGAGTCCGAAAATTGAGACCCATTTTGAGGGTTTGAGGTGAAAATTGGGGGTTTTGCATAAAAGTGAGGTAGGGGTTCCTAATCCATAGATTCTTGCTCCCTTGTGAATTATTCTTTGTTAATTATAGTTAAACATGCTTAATTTGAGATGAATACCTCTAAAATAATTTGGTTTTGTATATGGAATTCATGATTATGTGTATATGTGGATTTGTGTGAAAAACATGTTTAAAATGTTGATTTTATATACTGGTGTGTTTGATAACTTGTTAAAACTTACTATCTGGAAAGCATGTATATGTGTTAATTTTTCATGCCTATGGTGTTAGTAACTTATTAGAAATTGTTAAATGGAAGCATGTTAAATTATATAGTATAAAAGTCTTTCATTTGTCATGGCATTTGAGAAAGTATAAAATGTTCATGCATGTCATTGGGCATGAAAATGGGGAAAATTATTTTGAAATGAAAAAGGGAATTTTGGGGAAGAAGTTTTGATTAAAATGTTTAATGAAAACCCGGTCGCCGCGGGGGTACCAAAGGGCCGGTGTGTTAATATAGCCTAGAGGGAACTAGGGAGATTGCCCTAGCGTGGTTGAGCTAACTGGGCCCAAAATGACGTCGCGGGGGTACCAAGGGTCAAGGACACTAGCCAATCCTTCTCTCGTGTCACTGCGGGGTCACCAAAGGGCAAGTTATATTAACAGTTTAAAAGTGATGGATTTGAATGTTGAAAATGGGGAGCGATATCAGCATACATTGCATTTCATAGCATCATATTATGTATGCTGAGATTGGATTTAATGTTGTACTTTCCCGACATATTCCAATTGTCCTATTCCTTGTTTGGATTCAGGGGGACACAAGAGGTGTGTCTTAGGCACCATCTACTGACCAATTTTACTCACCCCTTTTTATTTAACATTTTTTTCAGGAAACGGGAAAGAAGTGGCAGATGACGTTCCACCACAGGCCTAAATTGGATTAGAAGATCGTTTTGTTATTTTTGTATTTAAGTCCCATATTTTTGTAAAATTTTAGTTTGTTATATTTGGTATAGAGATTTGTGAACTCTTGTTATTGTAATTATATTTATGGGCTGTAATTTTATTATAACTGGTCTAAACGTTGTAAGACATGGACTTTAAATCTTAACCATGTATTGTTGGGACTGTAATCATGATATTTGGATTAAATGGTATGTGGATGTTCCACCGTGAGATGAACTATGTTAAGGCCTAATGAACGGATAAAATGGATGCTGGAATGTATTATTTGCATTTTTATACATTTAAACAGGTTGTCGTAGGACCCTTTTTAGCGGAGGTCATGCTGAAATATTTTTTTTTAAAATGGTATCAGTTTAGGGTCATTACAAATTTGGTATCAGAGCCTTGGTTCGAAAACCATTAGGATGACAGGCCTACCTAGGGTTGTCTGGGGAGTCATTTGCATTGTTAATTCCTTATTTGCAAAAGTATTTTGCTACGTGAAAAGGCATGCTTAACTGTTTACTTGTTTACGTGTTTATGTGCTTATATGCTTATATTAATGTGTATGCTAAGTGTTAGTATAGTGTCTTTTTATGTTGAGTTGTTCACGGTTGGACCTTGGTGTTATCGTTATTGAACCATTTTCTTTGTTTTATAGAACGATGTCAAGGCGTGAAGAACCTGGGGAAGTTGGCCCTAGGCCAACAAGGGTGATGTTGGCGAGAGCTCTAGCTCTAATCCGGCAGAGCTAGTTGATGAAGACACACTTCTTAGGGATTTGATAGCCCTAAGAGTTATTTCTATAAGGAGGGATAATGTGGAAACGCCCGTTGAAGAGGGTGAAAGTTCAGCGGAACTAGTATTGAATCGCTTGTTGTAGAGAGCCTTGAGGGTTACAATTGCTACACATCCGTAGCCGATACCTCAATCAGTACCACAACCTGTAACCCAAGTTAAAGGGACGCCAGCACAGAAACGTCTCAAGATTATTAAAGGGTTTTCTCAGTTGATGCCGGTAATGTTCGAAGGTGGTGCGGATTCAATGGAAGTGGATGACTATATGGATCAAGTTGAAACTCAATTGACTTCTACGGATGTGATGGATGATCACTTGAAAATCATCCTCACCACTTACAAGTTTTCAAAGGATGCCAAGTTTTGGTGGAAGTCGGTCACAAATCAGTATAAGATTGAAGAGATGAGTTAGGATAGGTTCAAAGAGCTGTTCTATGAGAAGTATTTCCCTGCCTCCAAGAGATGGGAGTTAAAGGATAAGTTTATTGGCCTTATCCAAGGCAATATGTCAGTGACGGAGTACGAGAACAAGTTCACCTCACTCTCTCGCTGTGCTCCAGAGATGGTGAGTAATGAAGTTGATAAGGTTCGGAAGTTTATCTCCAGACTTGACTACAAGATGAGGCCATTGTTAATAGCACAGGGCATAAAGGTTTATTCTGAGGCAGTGGAAAGAGCATTGATGCTAGAGGCGGAAGCCAAAGATAAAGATACAAGAAGAGAACAATGGAAGCAAAAGAGGAATGCAGGGTCATTTCCAAAGGGACCTTCAGGGATGAGGAACAAGGGTGGTTCATCTCAGTTTTCGAGGCAGCCGTCTGCACGATCTGCTCCTACCACTCTTATGCCAGCTGGTTCAGATAAGAGTGCAGTTGTTTGTTTTCAGTGTCAGCAGCCTGGACATTACAAGTCCAGATGTCCTATAAACTCAACCATAGTTTCTGCGCCATCGAGAGCTTATTATGGGTGTGGCCAATAGGGCCATTTGATTCGAGACTGTCCGAGTCAGGAAGCAGGCACCACTAGTGGCAGAGGGTTACGGTAGAGGCCGTCACAGTTGGCTACAGTTCAGTCAAGTTTCAAACCACCACTACCACCACAGCCTGTCATGTCTTCTCAGGGTTCACGGCCAGTTAGGAGGGACACTCCTACTATGTCAGTGCAGCGGTTAGGTGTTCAGGTTGGCAGTTCTCAGGCACAGGCACCACAGGGACGTGTTTTTGCATTCTCCAAGGTATATTTCTAGTGTTTGGTTCTTGGGCGTGTTTTATTTGACTCTGGTGTATCTCATTCCTTCATATCATCATCATTTGCACTTGCATCGGGGTTAGAGATCAGTTTCATGGATCAGGCATTGTATGTTGATATGCCAATTGGGGTTTCAGTGTCTTTGAGCCGAGTTGTGCGGGATTGTTCTATTGTGATAGCTGGGTGGACCTTTGTGTTTGACCTTATCCTCTTAGAGATGACTAGCTTTGATGTCATTCTCGAGATGGATTGGTTAGCTTCCTTTCGTGCCACGATCGACTGTTCTGTTTCTTTTTCACGGGAGATTGGAGTGATTCCCACATTTCATCATTTTATGGAGTTCGTGGACGGAGTCGTAGTGATTACTTCTTGGCTAGCCTTATAGCCGAAGAAGATGATGTTGTGGAAGAAGATTATCCTGCAGTTGTTCATGATTTTCTGGATGTGTTTCCGGAGGATTTGACAAAGTTGCCTCCACACCGAGAAGTGGAGTTCACTATTGATTTAATGCCAGGTACCTCGCCGATTTCTATGGCACCGTATCGTATAGCACCAGTTGAATTGGAAGAATTAAAGAGACAGCTTGATGATTTGAGGATGAAAGGTTTCATCCGACCGAGTGTGTTACCGTGGGGCGCACCGGTCTTATTTGCTAAGAAGAAAGATGGTTCTTTGAGGTTGTGCATTGATTACCGGAAGTTGAATCATGCCACCATCAAGAACAAGTATTCTTTGCCAAGGATAGATAATTTGTTTGATCAGTTGAGAGGAGCCAGTTGTTTTTCAAAGATTGACTTAAGGTCAGGCTACTATCAGTTATGGGTTAAGGATGAGGATATCCCAAAGACAGCGTTCCGTACACGGTATGGACACTAAGAGTTCCTTGTTATGCCTTTTGACTTGACTAATGTGCCAGCGACATTCATGGACTTGATGAACCGCGTCTTTCAAGATTACTTGGACCAGTTTGTGGTAGTTTTCGTGGATGACATTCTCGTGTATTCACGATCTCGGGAGGAGCACGAGGTCCATTTGACTATTGTTTTACAGATTTTGCGGGAGCACCGATTATATGCCAAATATAAGAAATGTGAGTTTTTGCTACAGCAGGTGAAATTTTTGGGGCCTGTTGTTTCAAAAGGTGGAGTGTCAGTAGATCCATCAAAGGTTGAAGCAATTTTGAATTGGGAGCAACCTAAGAATGTTTTTGAGATCCAGAGTTTCCTTGGCCTGGCGGGTTACTATCGGAGATTTGTGAAAGATTTCTCCCGTTTGGCAGCCCCTATGACCCGTTTGACCCGGAAAGGGATCAAGTTTGTTTGGAATAAAGCCTGTGAGACATCTTTTCAGGAATTGAAGATAAGATTGACTACAGCTCCAGTGTTGGTGATACCTGAGCGTGGCTAGGGTTATGTGATTTATTGTGACGTTTCACATGATGGTTTGGGATGTGTGTTGATGCAGGATGGTAGAGTAGTGGCTTATGGGTCTCGACAGTTGAAGAATCACAAGCTTAACTACCCTACTTATGATTTAGAGTTAGCAGCAGTTGTATTTGCCTTGAAGTGTTGGAGACATTACTTGTATGGTGAGAGATTCGAGGTGTACTCGGATCATAAAAGTCTCAGGTACCCTTTCTCCCAAAAGGACTTGAACAACAGACAGAGAAGATGGGTTGAGTTCTTAAAGGACTACAATTTCAATTTGCAGCATCATCCGGGTAAGGCAAATGTGGTAGCAGATGCCTTAAGCCAGAAATCTCGTGAGACTCTGGCCTGTTTGGCTATTCGGAAGTGGAAGATGCTTAAGGATTTGGCAGAGATGGGATTGTATTGTTTTGATGACGATGTTGACAGTGAGCCAACATTCTTGTTTAGTCTTGTGGCTCAACCTACTCTTGTTGTACGAGTGATTGAGTCACAGAGACAGGACTCAGATTTAGATGTCATTCACGCTTTGATCTCCAATGGTGAGGCAGTGAAAGATTGGGCCTTGCATGCAGATGGGGGTCTACAGTTCAGAGGTTTGTTGGTGGTTACCACGGTTTGTCGTGAGGACGTCTTACGAGAGTTTCACACTACCCGCTTTGCAGTTTATCCAGGTGGCACCAAGATGTATCACAATTTGAGACGCCAGTATTGGTGGAACAGGATGAAGAAAGATGTTGCTTAGTTTATGGCTAAGTGCCTTACCTGTCAGTAGGTGAAGGCCGAGCATCAGAGACCAGCCAGTTTGTTGCAACCATTACTTGTAGTGCAGTGGAAATGGGAACATATTGCTATGGATTTTGTGACAGGTCTTCCAAGGTCACGGAGGGGCAATGAAGCTGTATGGGTCATCGTTGATGACCAAGACGGCTCACTTTTTGCCTATTAAGGTAACAGATGATGCAGAGAAGCTTGGTGTACTTTATGTGAAGGATATTGTAAGGTTGCATGGAGTTCCAGTAACCATTGTCTCACATAGGGATTGCCAAGTTCACTTCGAAGTTTTGGGAAGGACTTCAAGCAGCTTTTGGCTCAGCGTTGCACCTGAGTACGACATTCCATCCACAGACAGACGGCTAGTCAGAGCGTACTATCCAGATCTTGGAGGATATGCTTCGGGCATGTGTGCTTGACTTGGGTGGTAGTTGGGAAGATCATCTACCACTTATTGAGTTTGCCTACAACAACAGTTATCAGGCGAGTATTCAGATGGCTCCATTTAAGGCATTGTATGGTAGACCTTGTAGGTCTCCTATTTGTTGGACTGAGATGGGCGAGACAGCCGCCTTAGGACCCGACATTGTTCTTAAGACTACTGAGAAGATTAAGTTGATCAGACAGAGATTGCTTACAGCTCAAAGCCGACAGAAGAGTTATGCGGATAGGCGGAGACAGCCGCTATCCTTTGAGGTAGGAGACCACGTTTTTCTATAGGTTTCTTTACGGAAAGGACTGATGAGATTTTGGAAAAGTGGCAAGTTGTCGTCACGATTCATTGGACCGTTTGAGATTTTGGACCGAGTAGGAGAGGTTGCCTACAGACTTGCTTTTTCACCACAGTTGGACAAGGTCCACAATGTTTTTCATGTATCGATGTTACGGAAGTACGAGCCGGATCCATCTCACATTTTGAGTTGGGTTAATGTGGACATTGATGAGGATGTTTCCTACGATGAGGGACCAGTTCAGATCCTTGACACACAGTAGAAGGTGTTGAGGAACAAGATGACACCAATGGTGAAAGTTCTTTGAAGACACCACGGAGTTGAGGGGGCTACTTGGGAGCTCGAACAAGAGGTTCGCTCCAAGTACCCAGCATTGTTTCTTCCTCAGGTATGTCTTGATTTCAGGGATGAAATCTTTTAAAGTTGGGGAGAATGTAATGTCTGTGTCTTATTATAAATATAAGTGCATATGTGTATATATTTGTGTATGTGTGGTGTAATTTAAAAGCAAAAGAAAAAGAGAAAAGAAATTTTAAAAAAAATGGTGGGACCCACCATTAAACCAATTAAGGGCCAAAGAGACCACATATGGTCTCATTGCTCTCTTCTCCCGTTGGTTCACTCTCCCACCCTCTTTCTCTCGTTTTTTCTTTTTCTTTGGCCACAAATCCTTGCACCTTGATTTCTCCCTCATTTCTTAGTGTTTTTAAGTGCCGTTTACGGCAAATTGAAGCCCACGACGAGGTCTTCAAATCCATACCAGCAATTTCAGCTTTTGGCTATTCTAGGGAGTCCGAAATTGAGATCATTTTGAGGGTTTGAGGTGAAAATTGGGGGTTTTGCGCATAAAAGTGATCTAGTGGTTCCTAATCCATGAGATTCTTGCTCCCTTGTGAATTATTCTTTGTTAATTATAGTTAAACATGTTTAATTTGAGATGAATGCCTCTAAATGATTGGTTTTGTATATGGAATTCATGATTATGTATATATGTGGATTTGTGTGAAAAACATACTTAAAATGTTGATTTTATATGCTGGTGTATTTGATAACTTGTTAAAACTTACCATGTGGAAAGCATGTATATGTGTTAATTTTTCATGCCTATGGTGTTAGTAACTTATTAGAAATTATTAAATGGAAGCATGTTAAATTGTATAGTATAAAAGTCTTTCATTTGTCATGGCATTTGAGAAAGTATCTAATGTTCATGCATGTCATTGGGCATGAAAATGGGGAAAAAAATTTTGAAATGAAAAAGGGAATTTTGGAGAAGAAGCTTTGATTAAAATGTTTTATGAAAACCCGGTCACCGCGGGGGTACCAAAGGGTCGGTGTGTTAATATAGCCTAGAGGGAACTAGGGAGATTGTCCTAGCGTAGTTGAGCTAGCTGAGCCCAAAATGACGCCGCGGGGGTACCAAGGGTAAGGGACACTAGCCAATCCTTCTCTCGTGTCACTGCGGGGTCACCAAAGGGCGGGTTATATTAACAGTTTGAAAGTTATGGATTTGAATGTTGAAAATGGGGAGCGACATCGGCATGCATTGCATTTCTTAGCATCATATTGTGTATGCTGAGATTGGATTTAATGTTGTACTTTCCCGACATATTCCTATTGTCCTATTCCTTATTTGGATTCACGGGGATACAAGAGGTGTGTCTTAGGCACCACCTACTGAGCAATTTTGTTCACCCCTTTTTATTTAACATTTTTTTCAAGAAATGGGAAAGAAGTGGCAGATGACGTTCCACCACAGGCCTAAATTGGATTAGAAGATCGTTTTGCTATTTTTGTATTTAAGTCCCATATTTTTGTAAAATCTTAGTTTATTATATTTGGTATAGAAATTTGGGAACTCTTGTTATTGTAATTATATTTATGGGCTGTAATTTTATTATAAGTGGTCTAAACGTTGTAAGACATGGACTTTAAATCTTAACCATGTATTGTTGGGACTGTAATCACGATATTTGGATTTTATGGTATGTGGATGCTCCACCGTGAGATGAATTATGTTGAGGCTAGATAAATGGATGAAAGGGATGCTGGAATGTATTATTTGCATTTTTATGCATTTAAGCAGGTTGTCGTAGGACCCCTTTTAGCGGAAGTCATGCCGAATTTTTTTTTTTTTTTTTAAATGGTATCAGTTTAGGGTCGTTACATATCCCATGAAAAGATCAAGTGAACTTACATAAAGAGAGTGACAATGAATAGCAAAAGAGAAGAATGAGATGGAGTTTTATGGTCTTGAAAAAATTCAGATAAAAAAAGATTTACCTTGTATAGTTGTATGCCACAGAGGTTATTCAATATAAACATAGGATGCAAGCGATCTTTGGCCAATCTTCCCCTGTTTTTTTCAGGCATCTATCATATTACATGTCGGCACATGATGTAATTCTGAGGAGTTGTAATGCAGTGAGCTGACGAATCCTAATGGGCAGTGATGTCAATTTCTGACAGGAAGTTATTCAAGTGATGTGAGGTTGCCTATCCACTCTGGCATAGAAACTGCATAATAAAACTGTAAAAATGTTTCACTTCATTTAGTTTGCATCTTAGAATTTTGTTAATCAATAAACAATAGTGAGAAAAATTTACAATAGTTGGAAATTGGACCTCAGTTTCTTTCGAAAACAAGTACAATAGTTGAAACATTCATGTTCACAACTGCAATCTCTTGGGACGAAAATCGTTATAATTTAGTTGGATAACACAATTCAAAAAAAATCTGTTCATTCGTAAAGTGTCTTACCAGTAATCTGATCATCCTATACTTGTTTGCTATTGCCCCAGTAATAGCTTGTCTCATCCACCACTAAACATATGTTCGCAGATTATATTCTCCCTCTGGATTGATTATCTTTGCTCCAAAGAGAAAATAAAAAAAAAACCTTCATGGAAAGCAGGCAGAAAAATGGAAAACAAAATGTATAACTACCTGAATCAGGTCTTACAAGCTTAATCTTTTGCTTTGATCACCTCCATTGGGCAAAATTGTATCTAGACTACTAACACTCATCCCAATAGCCTTGGCCAATTGCTTTGAGGCTGGATCATGCTCGCTGGTTTTCGTAATTGTCCTTTTGGCTGCTTCTACCATGTTTCTTCCTGTAAATTTGCAGAACTTCATCTCAATATGCAAGAAGGGTCCTAATCTGAAACGGGAATAAAAATGTAAAAAATTTCTAGCAAGCAAAGGGAACATCCCAGTTAAAGATCCACGTGAATTGTGATCAAAAGTAGGATGATCAAGGTTAAATGGCAAGGACATAATGACAAAAAACTGGAGCCAATGTTGTAAGGCATACAATAAAAACTGGAGCCAATGTTGTTTTAGGGAAAGTGATCTAGTCTCTGCCTTATATCAGCTATCCTTACATTTTTTTCCTCTCGGCAATAGCCATCCTTATATTTTTCTTTGGCCTTCACAATTTTCTGTAATTTGTTTCCTCTCTGTAATTTGTTTCCCAACAATTAAGAGAATCATTCATTAGGTGGAACTTTATTACGTTAGAGACAAAATTTGTAAAAAATAGTTGTCATTGTAGAAAAGAATGTAAAAAATTTGCAAGCCTGTGAATAGAACTTACATGAAAAAAATAAAATAAAATAAATAAGCTAATGAAATGTCTCACCTTTGAGATTAAACAAAATCCAATTATGTGCTCATCAAGGTACCCCATAACACCAGCACAAACAGAACATTTGACATTTCGTGAGAGGGTCAAAATGAGAAATAAGATAATGGTAAAAGGACAATTTCAATGATATTATCTCCTTTCTATATCTACATTCATGGAAGTTGCACAAACGCAAAACATATATACATATATATGAGTATTAATATATTTCTCTTCAAAAATACGTCTTAAAGAGTGTAAAATAAAAAATAAAAAATAAAAAAGAAAGAAATACTAGAGAGCACAAAGATAAGGGTTAGAGAGGGGGTTATATGCAAATAAAGCAATATGGTTATTTGGAATAATTTCTTAGCCTAAGAAGGCTAAAACGATCATTTTCATATTTTTATATCAGTTCAATCCATACATGGAAACATTACCGAGTCTGTACCTGTCCCACAAAATATCTATTGAACTTAAATGAAGAGATTGACAATGAGGAGGAAGATAGAACAATAAGATGGAGTTTTATGGTCTTAAAAAAATTTCAGATAAAAAAGGATTTACCTTGTATGCCACAGAAGAAATTATGCAATATAAACATTTCGGATGTGAGCAATCTTTGGCCAATCGTCCGCGGTTTCTTTCTGGCATCTATCATATAAAACGTCGGTGCATGATGTAATTATGAGTTGTTGTAATGCAGCAAGCCGTCGCATTCCTTCGGGCAATGACGTCAAATTGGGGCAATTGTCAATGAAAAGTCGGTCAAGAGATGTGAGGTCGCCTATACACTCTGGCAAAGTAACTAGGTCCTGAATGTTGACAACACATAGAGTCTTTAATTTGGAAAGATGAAGAAGCAAAGAAGATGAATAGGACAATGACATGGTTGCAACTGGGGACACTGTCATCATTAACTGTTGTTCAACTAGCTTGTTGCTGACATTTTTGAGATGAAGTTGTTCAAGACATGGTTACAGAAAAGGCATTGATGTCAGATTAGGGCAATGTTTGATGTTTAATTTGGAAAGAGAAGGAAATGATGGGAGCCAATAATGCTGTTGTTGATGTTTCTGTTGGTCCAGTAGAGTTGCACTACTTGTTGTTGCTTCTTCTTCTACTGCTTCTCTCCACCATCACTTCAAATTAGGCATTGGATGGAGTAGGAGTTCTTTCAGGGATGGGAAGAATGTTGGTGTTGGTGTTGGTGTTTGTTCTGATCTTCTTATTGAAGATGAAGAAGAGGGGAAAGAAGAGAGGGACACCTCACCACCACTGCCAGTACTATTGTTGTCTATGTACTCCAAGGAATACATAAAAGAAAGACAGAGAAATTGGAGAGAAGGAAGTTGCCCAAATAGTGGAAGATGTTTGCATTTGTCACAGCTGTCTATAGTAATTATGACGAGATTCGGGAGGGATAAGCAAACTTTGTCAACCATCATCATCCAACTTGGGAAACTCATTCCCCCATAATACTCTATTTTCAGCTCCTTCAGATTTGGGTATGGACGGAGGGATTCCAATAATAACTCGTCATCATCGTGATCAACCCTATCAAAACATAATATCAACGACTTAAGGTGTTTTTTAGCCTCCAAGTAGTTCGTTCCCTCAGCTCCCTCTGCTGCTGCATTTTTTAAACACTGGCGGCTACTTGAGTCCCTACGTCCAAGAATTTCAATAGTAAAGCTTCCACATAGATTGTTTAGGCTTTGCAATTCACTCAACAGGCTACTTGAGTCCACTGCAAACCTTGTTAATGTCAAAAGAGACTTCAACTGGCCCAATCCCCATGGCAGCATGCCGTTCAACTTAAGACACTGGTCAAACTCAAGATGCCTGTGATGTCTATCACTTTTTTAATTTTTTCGGGCATTTCTCATTTTAGCATAAGTGATTATTTCATTACCTCGGGTTATGTGCCATGTTTGTGATTGTGTGTCACAAAGGTTTTACAATGATCTGAAATGTTTTGTTGAGTTCGGGATGCATCGATATGCTTCGGGAATCATTTAGACAGTTTTTGGATTTTTGGGCCAAGCGACTCGTGTGGGTCCCACGCCAAGATTTTTGGGTTTTGGAGTTATTTCCTTAATTGAAAAATAATTATCTTGGATGTCATTTATTTTATTCATGAGGGTGGAATGGTCATTTGAGGATTGTAATGGCATTTTAGTAATTAAGTGAAGAGGTGGGAACATTTTGGTCATTTATCATGGTCACACATTTGGCTCATGGTGGGCTTGACACATAGACACATGGACACCACATGACATTCATTTAGCTTACCTTGTATAATTCATTTATGCAGAAGGTGGGTTAGGATTTAGTCTCTGTAGTTGCCATCTTCCTTCGTCCATCTTTGTCCTCCATTAGAGCAGTTTTTGAAGCTCAGAATTGAGAGACTTGTGGTGAGAGTTTGATGGTAAGGTGTGAATGAAAAATGACCTAGAGGAAATGAGGTCTCCATTGATATATTATTTGAGGCCATTCCTTAATCCATGGGGTTTAGAAAGTGCCTTGAAAAGAGGAGGATCTTAGTTGTGCTTCAATGGAGTATTCTTCAATTTTCTTCATCCGTTTGGTGATTCGATTTAGCCTTGAGATAGCTTGGAGGTATTTGTTCCTAGGGTTTGAGCTCCCTTGAGGTAGGATTGTCTAACCCTCAATTCCTTTTCCTTTAGTGAGTTAATCTCTTTCAATTTAAGTTGCAAAGTGTATAAAAATTAAATTGAAGCATGCTGAAATTGTTTGGCTGAAATTACATGCTACTGTTTTGTTCAAATTCCTTTAAATTCGTAAATTATCATTTAGAGATGATTTGATATTATGATAATATAGTTAATTAGCTTTCATTGAGAATTGGTTTCACATAAATTGGTTGAGAAATGAATCTACTATGAATTTTTGAAGTTAGAGTGTTCTTGCTGGAAATTCTAGGTTGGGGCAGATTATGTCCGAGTCTTTCTCATCAAACCTGCTTTAAATGGTAAGGTATTTTTGTAAGGTAAAATTTTATCTTGAAAGTATAGTCTTTGAACTTTCAGTGGCCTTTGGATTCACTCAATTTGGATGAGAATGGAAATTTTTATGATTTTTCAAAGATGGAAACTACAGGTTGGAAATCAGTTTTTGGGCAGATTTTATTTCGAAATTTTGGGCCAAAACTGTTCCAATTGGGAAGGGATTTTGTTAAACTAAATTGACACTTTCGAAGTACATTGTTTAAGCTTTCATTAGGCTTTGGAATCACTCAATTTGACATAGTATTGAAACTATTATGAAGTTTCAAAGATGGAGGTAACAAGCTGCGTATGAATTGTTAACTCTTAGGGGTTGTTTTAACCCTCACACCCTTTGTTTCCTTGTGAATTAAATCCTTTAAATTGAACCATTATATGACTTGAATTAGGCTTTCTTTACAAGCATGTTGTATAATAAAAATCTGAAATTTTGTACCTTAGACAGAAATGATGTATTATGTGTTTTAAATATGGAATTTGAGCTCTTAAAATGTTGTTGGCGTTTATGTGCCTAAAACTGAAATTCAAGTAATCACAATGGTTGTACTGTTATTGTTTGACAAGTTGGAAATTATATATTTAGTTCACTTCAATTATGGGCTGTTTTGTTATAAGTTTGGTGTTGTATTAGTGTTCAAAGATTGAATGATACATTGTCCTTGAAACATGCTACCATGATAAATTTGCTGCCAAAGTGTGTCCACAGAATTGGATTTTGATGTGAGTAATAATGTGGTATTCTAATATTGTGAAGCATGTGTCAATCATGCATTATATTGGGAAGCAATGGGACAAAACTGATTTGTTAAGGAGGAGTTTTGAATGTAAAGCAAACTGAATTTTTTTGGGGAAATGTTTTGAACTAAAGTTTGTGAAAAACCCGGCCGCCTAGGAGTTGCCTAGGGACCACAGCGTTAGTGAGGCCTAGAGGGGACTAGGGAGATCGCCTTAGTGTGGTTGAGTTACCTGGACCCCAAATGACGTCATGGAGCTGCCATGGGTCAGGGACAGTGGCCAATCCTCCTCTCGTGCCACCATGGAGTTGCCATGGGACGAGTTCACTAACGGTTTGAAAATGATGATGGAAATGGTTTTGGAAAAAAATGGGGAGCGACATCACATGACATTGCACCCATTGCATGGCATATCCATTCATGACTTGGTTTATAAATGTGATAATGTGATTATTTTTCTCCCGGCATAGCATAGGACCAGCTAAGATATTGATTAGAAAGAATGTGGTAATTATAAAGTAATAGAGATGGATATTCTCAATTTGTATTTATGATTAGACATGAGTGGTTATCATTTGGTCTAGGTACAGTAAATCATTAATACTAAAGGGTTCCTTAGGTATTAATAGAGGGGTAGTCTTTTCACGGTACAAGGGCATACCTTTAGACTGATGGTTGTGATAATGAGAAATGTGATTCTTTGTATAGAATGTTGTAATAAAGGAAATAGTTTAGACTCTGTGTATATGGTACTTCAAATTCTTCTGTGTTGACTGCTTTGTGAGACAACATAATGATGTGATAATTATTTTTTCCCTGATTTGCATGACTCCCTTTCTGATTCCTATTCTTTGTTTGGATTCATAGGGATATTAAGGAGTGGTGGTTAGGCATTTCCTACTGAGCTGTGGTTGCTCATTCCTATTATATATACATTTTTTACAGGTTATGGACAAGAGGTCGTAGAGGGAATTCCTCCACAGCCATGGATGGATGTTGGATTCTAATTGGTTATATATCTTTTTATAAATGGGAAATGTATATTTTGAGACCAACATGTATATTTGTAAATATTTTTTTTCAAAACAAATCGTGTTAAAATGTTGTAATTAAAGGGTTATGGGATTTTAATTATAAAACCTACTTTTATATTTTCAAATAATGTTGGGACAGGGTACTTTATTTAAAATGACTTTTGAAACAAGGGATTTTCTTATTATCAGCCTTGAGTATTAAAGTTTTATCTAAAATTTTTGGACAATGTTCCAGGGCTCGGTCAGACATTTCTGAATATGAGTATTTCTTTGTTCTATTTTATGTTCACAACATAGATTGCGGTCAAGGGTCATGACAAAAATGGTATCAGAGCATGGTTCATCTAACCTAGGGACGACGGGTAGTGGTCTGTCTACGGTTAAGGGTTTTCTAGTTTGTGTTTTCTCACATGCTTATGTGCTTACTTGTTACTTGTTTTGCAAGCATGCTTACCTGCCTAAGTGGCTATGTGTTTATTTGGTTTGGGCTTTGCAAGCATGCTTATGTGCTTACGTAATAATTGTTTAATTGTTTAAAGATGAAGCATGTTATATGTTTAACGGCTTGTATCCATGTGAGTCAGTTTGGGACTGTGGATAGTGTCATTGTTGTTGACTTTTATTTTGCTGTAGTATGTCACCTCATAAGAAAGTTCAAGCACTTAGAGGTCTGGGAAATGAGTGGTAAGACTGATGCCAATAGCGTTGTCGTTTGTGGATGGCTTATCAGCATAAGCATGTGTGAGTATCATGGCATTTTGCATCGTTGTCAGATGTCCTCATTGGACACGACTTAGCTGGCATTGTGAGTATCTACCAATGAGGATATAGTTTTGATGTGCACTGATTAGTGTTTAGCATATGTGGGTGTTTCATTCATGTAACAGCGGAACGTTCAGGTGTGATTAGTAGTAAGGAGTCCAGAGTTGGATCCTGATGTTAGAAAAGTTTTTGATTGCAGAATTGAGTCTTTGTGACTTGTGATTCGAAGAAAGTGGGTTAGTGATAATGCAATTGTTGTTTGGGCATGGGATGGACAAATGGACCGACCGGACATTGTGGACCATACCCGGCTCTAAACGCAATTTCAAGACACTGACAAGGATGACGGTTGGTGTGTCATGGGAGACACTTATGGTTTCAGGTGACGTCATAGGTGTCTCAGGAAAAGGGTGTGTGATGGGATTGTATTAGGCATTGGTGATGTCACATTACGTATGAGGACGTTGTGAGCGGACAATAGTTGCCGACTATGCTACCATGCTGACGAGTATGTGTGGGCAGGCTCTAGACGCCGACAAGGCTACTATTCTTCTGAGTATGTGTTAACAGACACTAGTTGCTAGTTTGATTAGCAAATCATAGTATGGTGTATCCTTTCATGATTATGATGATTGAGGATTGGCAGTTTTTTTCATTGATGTTATGCTGGATTGGTGGATTGCCACATTGGTATTCGGGGATTGTGTTATGGATTTCTAAATTTTGTAGAATGTCATGATTATAAATTCTGGAATATGGATAAGGATGGTGACGATAGTAGAATAATATGGTGATATTTTGGGTTATCATTTAATTGACTTGCATTTCGGTTGAATACCGGTTGTTAATAAGGACTGATTGATGCTAGAGATTGATTTTACCTTAACTGGTGATAAGAGTAGACATCAGGAATAATGTTATGAGTATCTTGACAGTTATGATTTGAGCTAGCTCGGTTTTGTGGGATTCGAATCCATTGTTGCTTGAGGGCACAGACTTATCAAGCTTTGGATTCGCAGATTAGAGTCTGTTGGCAGTAGATGCATTTTATCACGAGAGTTTGTATCCACTTTTCCTCGTTAGTATCTGGAGAGTTGGAGGGGATTTTGTAGACTGTTGTGTCTATTGTATGATGTGAGTCTATAGGCTCTGCAAATTGTGTGGTGATGCTGGTTAGAGTTCCTGCCAAATTTTGTGAGTGTGATAGGCACATCATCTTTTCTTTTTAAGGAGGGTAGATTTCGAGGACGATATCTTTTTAAGGAGGGTAGACTGTGATGTCCATCACTTTTTTAATTTTTTCGGGCATTTCTCATTTTAGCATAAGTGATTATTTCATTACTTTGGGTTATGTGCCATGTTTGTGATTGTGTGTCACAAAGGTTTTACAATGATCTGAAATGTTTTGTTCAGTTCGGGATGCATCGATATGCTTCGGGAATCATTTAGACAGTTTTTGGATTTTTGGGCCGAGCGACTCATGTGGGTCCCACGCCAGGATTTTTGGGTTTTGGACTTATTTCCTTAATTGAAAAATAATTATCTTGGATGTCATTTTTTTTATTCATAAGGGTGGAATGGTCATTTGAGGATTGTAATGGCATTTTGGTAATTAAGTGAAGAGGTGGGGACATTTTGGTCATTTATCATGGTCACACATTTGACTCATGGTGGGCTTGACACATGGACACCACATGACATTCATTTAACTTACCTTGTATAACACATTTATGCAGAAGGTGGGTTGGGATTTAGTCTCTGTAGTTGCCTTCTTCCTTCGTCCATCTTTGTCCTCCATTAGAGGAGTTTTTGAAGCTCAGAATTGAGAGACTTGTGGTGAGAGTTTGATGGTGAGGTGTGAATGAAAAATGAGCTAGAGGAAATGAGGTCTCCATTGATATATTATTTGAGACCATTCCTTAATCCATGGGGTTTAGAAAGTGCCTTGAAAAGAGGAGGATCTTAATTGTGCTTCAATGGAGTGTTCTTCAATTTTCTTCATCCGTTTGGTGATTCGATCTATCATTGAGATAGCTTTGAGGTGTTTGTTCCTAGGGTTTGAGCTCCCTTGAGGTAGGATTGTCTAACCCTCAATTCCTTTACCTTTAGTGAGTTAATCTCTTTCAAATTAAGTTGAAAAGTGTATAAAAATTAAACTAAAGCATGCTGAAACTGTTTGGCTGAAATTACATGCTATTGTTTTGCTCAAATTCCTGTAAATTCGTAAACTATCATTTAGAGATGATTTGATATTCTGATAATATAGTTAATTAGCTTTCATTGAGAATTGGTTTCACATAAATTGGTTGAGCAATGAATTTAATATGAATTTCTAAAGTTAGAGCGTTCTTGGTGGAAATTTTGGGTTGGGGCAGATTCTGTCTGAGTTTTTCTCATCAAACCTGCTTTAAATGGTAAGGTATTTTGGTGAAGTAAAATTTTATCTTGAAAATATAGTCTTTGAACTTTCAGTGGCCTTTAGATTCACTCAATTTAGATGAGAATTGAAATTTTTATGATTTTTCAAAAATGGAAGCTACAGGCTGGAAATCAGTTTTTGGGCAGATTTTATTTCGAAATTTTGGGTCAACACTGTTCCAATTGGGAAGGGATTTTGTTAAACTAAATTGACACTTTCAAAGTACATTGTTTAAGCTTTCATTAGGCTTTGGAATCACTCAATTTGACATAGAATTGAAATTATTATGAAGTTTTGAAGATGGAGGTAACAAGTTGCATATGAATTGCTAACAACTAGTAGGGGTTGTTTTAACCCTCACACCCTTTGTTTCCTTGTGAATTAAATCCTTTAAATTGAACCATTATATGACTTGAATTAGGCTTTCTTTACAAGCATGTTGTATAATAAAAATCTGAAATTTTGTAGCATAGACAGAAATGATGTGTTATGTGTTTTAAATATGGAATTTGAGCTCTTAAAATGTTGTTGGCGTTTATATGCCTAAAACTGAAATTCTAGTAATCACAATGGTTGTATTGTTATTGTTTGACAAGCTGGAAATTATATATTTAGTTCACTTCAATTATGGGCTGTTTTGTTTTATGTTTGGTGTTGTATTAATATTCAAAAACTGAATGATACATTGTCCATGAAACATGCTGCCATGATAAATTTGCTGCCATAGTGTGTCCATAGAATTGGATTTTGATGTGAGTAATGATGTGGTATTATAATATTGTGAAGCATGTGTCAATCATGCATTACATTGGGAAGCAATGGGACAAACCTGATTTGTTAAGGAGGAGTTTTGAATGTAAAGCAAACTGAATTTTTTTGGGGAAATGTTTTGAACTAAAGTCTGGGAAAAACCTGGCCGCCTAGGATTTGCCTAGGGACCGCGGCGTTAGTGAGGCCTAGAGGGGACTAGGGAGATCGCCTTAGTGTGGTTGAGTTACCTGGGCCCCAAATGACGTCATGGAGTTGCCATGGGTCAGGGACAATGGCCAATCCTCCTTTCGTGCCGCCATGGAGTTGCCATGGGACAGGTTCACTAAATGTTTGGAAATGATGATGGAAATGGTTTTGAAAAAAAATGGGGAGCGACATCGCATGACATTGCACCCATTGCATGGCATATCCATTCATGACTTGGTTTATAAATGTGATATTGTGATTATTTTTCTCCTAGCATAGCATAGGACCAGCTAAGATATTGACAGGAAAGAATGTGGTAATTATGAAGTAATAGAGATGAATATTCTCTGTTTGTGTTTATGATTAGACATGAGTGGTTATCATTTTGTATAGGTACAGTAAATCATTAATACTAAAGGGTTCCTTAGGTATTAATAGAGGGGTAGTCTTTTCACGGTACAGGGGCATACCTTTAGACTGATGGTTGTGATAATGAGAAATGTGATTCTTTGTATAGAACGTTGTAATAAGAGAAATAGTTTAGACTCTATGTATATAGTACTTCATATTCTTCTGTGTTGACTGTTTTGTGAGACAGCATGATGATGTGATGATTATTTTTTCCCTGATTTGCATAACTCTTTCTCTGATTCCTATTCTTTGTTTGGATTCATGGGGGTATTAAGGAGTGGTGGTTAGGCATTTCCTGCTGAGCTGTGGTTACTCATTCCTATTATATATACATTTTTTTCGGGTTATGGACAAGAGGTCGTAGAGGGAATTCCTCCATAGCCATGGATGGATGTTGGATTCTAATTGGTTATATATCTTTGTATAAATGAGAAATGTATATTTTGAGTCCAACATGTATATTTATAATTATTTTTTTTCAAAACAAATCGTGTTAAAATGTTGTAATTAAAGGGTTATGAGATTTTAATTATGAAACCTACTTTTATATTTTCAGATAATATTGGGACAGGGTACTTTATTTAAAATGACTTTTGAAATAAGGGATTTTCTTATTATCAGCCTTGAGTATTAAAGTTTTATCTAAAATTTTGAACAGTATTCCAGGGCTCGGTCAGACATTTCTGAATATGAGTATTTCTTTGTTCTGTTTTATGTTCACAACCTGCATTACGGTCAAGGTTGTGACAATGCGTAAGGCTGACCAATTTTCTAATATCTCTTGGCAATTCTTCAAGATGGAAACATCTATTCAGTTTTAGAGTCTGCAAATTTTGTAACTTGCTTATGGAATTTTGGGAGAGCCTTGATATCAGTACCACTAAGATCAAGATACCTTAAATGTTTTAGCTTGCTTATGTAATCTGGCACGGTATTTATCGAATACGTGTTGGACACAATCAACACACGTAAACATTTAAAAGTTGAAATAGTCATTTCAAAAACTTTGGGTCCTAAATATGTATTCTTCGAAATAAATGTTCGCAACTTCTTAGCTCTCACCAAGTGGGTTGGAATTTTCCATGATGAATAGGAACCAAATGACATATGGCGAATTCTTTCATTAACAGTTTTTGCACCTGAATTCAAAGTGGAGTTCTCAAGCCTAACCACCGATTATGCAAGGTCATGGACCAGATCATGCATTTTGAAACTTACTATTTCACCCCATTCATCTCTTTCAATGTCTTGAAAGAGGGACCTCCTCAATAAACCCATAAAATACAAATCTCCTACATCCTCCAATAGTTGATTTTCATACAATGACTGAATGAATCCATGTGCAATCCACAATTGGATTAATTCTCGCTTAACAATCTTTTGATCTTTCAAATATAAGGAACAAAATACAAAGCATCTCTTCAAATACGGAGGAAGGTGATTATAACTTAACTTTAGTATTGGCAAAATAATATCCTCTTCTTGAGCTATTTTTGACAAATCTTTATTTTTAAAAATCAACCATTCAGCATTTGTATCTTTATAGTATAGTAGGCTTCCTATAGACCTTATGGAAAGAGGAACTCCCTTACAATTTTGTACAATTTCCTTCCCAACCATTACTCGACTTGTATTCTCATACTCTTCCCCTTGTTTGAATGCCATTTTCTTAAACAAAGACCATGACACCACCCCAGACAAGCCTTTTAAGACATATGGTGAATTTTGTCCTGTAACGTTTGCAACCAATTCACTACAGGTTGTTACTAAAATTTTACTTCCTCTTGAACCACCACTCAACAGATCTCTCAGTTTTAACCAACTCTCACGATTCTCATTCCACACGTCGTCCAATACAAGTAAATATTTTTTTTCATCAATTTTTGTCCTCAATTGATTTTGCACTTCTTCGAACTGGAGGCCATTACCTTCTTCAGAACCTATGATTTTTTGTGCAATGAGTTTCACATCAAAGGGGTCAGAAACACAAACCCATATCTTAAGTTCAAAATATTTAGTGACCACTTCATCATTGTATACTAATTTTGCAAGTGTGGTCTTCCCTAGTCCCCCAATCCCAACTATTGCAACCACCGACACACTCTCTTGAATGTTACTGTCCAATAACATTTCTACAATATTATTTTTATCACCTTCCCTCCGAATAACACTTTCTGCATGAACAAAAGAATGAGTCTCCTCCCTCTTAGTATTCCCAACTCGCATCTCTATAGGTCGTTCAATAAGGTGAAATTTTTTCCTGTCTTCTGCAATTGCATCTAGTCTCTCCTTAATGGCCTTAATCTCACGAGTCATCTTACTACTGATAGCTGAGCTTGAGAAGAAATTGCGTACCTTCTTTAGCCTTTTGTTCTGAGTCATAACTTGGCGCCGAAGAACTTCAGTGGAGAAGTCATCGAGCAAGTCATCAGCATCACAAAATGCATCATTAAGCTTTTCGAGCCAGTCTGCAACCTCACAATTTGTGGCTTGCTGCTCCTCTGCATCAGCAAGTACTGCTCTGATAGTAGAAACCGTGTTTTCAAGTTTGTGAAGCTCACCCTCTACACCCCATGCCAGTCCGATCTCTTGGAAAACCGTTGAACCCAACTTCTTGATAATTTGAGTCACAGTATGGTAAAGAATTGTTTCAGCCATTTCTTCTTGATGAGATAGATGGTTTACAGATTCTCTGTGGAGCTGTTGGACAAGTCCTCCTCAATGTTTTATAATCGAGTGATGGAAGGAAAGTCAACAGTACAATTAATAAAAAAGAGAATTGGCATGCAGAACAGTACAATTCATAAACACTGATTGATAGAAAACAAAACGAAGAGAAAAGTCTCCATAATTGAAGGTTAAGTCTCCTCAAATGGGTCCTCATTGATTGGAAAAAAAAAACAGAACAATGACAGCCTTCTGGACTGATTTGTGGACTAGGTTGGCGATGAATCAATTAGATTTAAATTCTATGCTGGCCAACCATATAGTTGAAACAGCCATATATGATATGTATATATACACATACATGTAAGCATATGTGTGTGTAATTGATGGATCTAACCATCAATCTTGAAAAGATAACAACAACAAAAAATAAATTTCAATTAAATAATAAAGGAACACAGTACATCAAAGACAAATCTGTCAAGAAAAAAACGAAGTGATGGAAAAAAACAGAGAAAAGGAGGGAAGGACTGGGAAATCTCCATACCTGAGGATACGATTCTTGGTGCCAATCAATTACCAAGAGAGAACTTCCCACAAAGATTATAATGTAAACACACACAGAATTTCACTTACAATAGACCAAAATCAAATTACTCTTTAATACACAAAACCCAAAAAGATTATAATGTAAACATACAGAATTTCACTTATAAATTTACAATAGATCAAAATCAAATTACACTTCAATACACCAAAACGACAAAGATTATAATGTATGTTTACGCATACAAATTCACTTACAATAGACCAAAATCAAATTACACTTTACCACTCAAAACCCACAAAAATTATAACTTAAGAACACAAAGAAATTCACTTGCAATAGACCAACATCAAATTACACTTCAATACACAAGACCCACAAAAATTATACTTGCACTAGACCAAAATCAAATTACATTTCAAGACACAAAACCCACAAAGATTATAATGCAAAGCCGCATAGATTTTCACTTACTTTTTTCCAATAAGACGCTTAATATCCGAAATTGTGCGTTCGGGGTTTCTGGCAGCTTGATTCTTTGCAGCCTCTCCGATGAATCGCACTGTATCTGTGAAAGCAACCCATGATGTAGTGATTCTGTTTCCTTGACCGTTCGCTACAATCTCAAAATGACCGTTTCTTTAAACACCCACACAAGAATAGCCAATGCTAATCCTACCAAAAGTTCTTCAAAAATTCAAACACAAGTGTTTAGTCTCAATGAATTTCTTTAAATCAGAAAATCCCAACACCAAATTCGTTAAAATTTTGTTTCTCTGTCTTTTTTTGTATTTTGAGAAACTTGTTAGGTCAGTGACATAAAAAAGGAGGGGTCTTTTTGTATTTTATAATATTTTCTTAAGGACTTTTGTGAACTTATATAGAGTTTAGTGGGTTCACAAGTATATTATAAAAATTGTGTAAAGAAAATAACATGGCTCCACAGGTGGACATGGGTTTATTTATTTATTTTAAGAAACTTATTGAGCCAATGAATTAAAACAAAAAAAATGAGATCTTTTTGAATTGTTGAATTTTTAAGGACTTTTGTAAATTTGTACAGAGTTTAGTGGGGCAAAACTATAATTGTTAAAATAATTGTATTGAAAATATAATTAAATTAGAAATCCAGTGGGGGCATGTCCTACGTGAGTGAGTGCATGAGCTTGTTGTAAAAAAATAATAATAATAAAAAAAAGGGCATAAATAAACCAGGCACCAACCCATTCTTCCAAACTGCTATGAGTATCCGTTAGCCACAACTCTTAAGCGATTTTGGGAGTCCTCCAAGCCCCCACCCGATTTAATTGTGGGTTCAAAGAATTTAATTCATTGATATAAATTTTCGATTTGTAGTGAAAAATACAAAGGAAAAGAAAAAGGATAACTAAGATTATATGATTGGTAATTGAATTGATTTCTCTACATATATTTATAATAAATAAAACTTTATAATTGTAACGTTGCATGTGTCATTCTATTGAAGTGAAAATCCATTATTAGGAATGAAAATTTATTTCATATCTAAATCTATAAAATAATCATTCTATTCCTAAAAAAATTTTGTAAAAAAAAATCAACTTCCCTTCAAAAACCACCATCACCGTCGCCACCAACGCCACTACGATCACCTTCCACTACAGCCACCTCCACCTTTTACTACCGCCACCTCTATTACATTCCACCACTGTTACTGTCACCGCCACCGTGGCGGGGGCGGCTTAATCTAATTTGGGGCTTTAGGCAAAAAAGTAAAAAGAGGCCTTTTTAATAATATAAATAAAATTAGTCACAATTCAAAAACAAATTAAATATACAAATATATATACATCCAACTTTATAATAACAAAAGTGCATAAAATTAATAAATAATTAAAGAAAAATAACCATTGAACCTGATTTAGAAAACTCAAATCCAATACTTCTACAAATTTTTCAATAGAATAAAAATGCGTTCATAATAACGGTAAACTTGTGATGAGAGTGAGAGAAGAAGACTTATTGAAAATAAAAAGATAAAACATATAAAATAAAATAATTATGAAAAGTTTTCGTCATTTTTCTAAACAACAACATTAAATAGATATTTAATATTTTACTGTTGGTGTATCTTACCCAAAAATGTTTTTAGTGCTGCTGTAAAAAACGTGAATGAGAGAGAGAAAGAAAGAGGGAAAAAAATATTTAATGATACAAATTTTGGGCCTAATATTAAATTTTTATATTGGCTAGAATTTATTGTAAAAGTGAATGAGAGTAGAAAAAAGGAGGGAAAAAATGTCATATAAGGATGTAAATCTTTAGAGGCCAATATTAAATTTATGTATCAATTAGAGTTCAACTTAATGAAAAAAGAAAAAGAAAAAATGAAGAGAGTTAAATTATGATATAAATATTTGAGACCTAATATAAAATCAGAATGAATGAGGAGAGATAGAAAAGAGAAAAAATAAGTTATTTTAGAATATAAATATTTGAGGCCTAATATAAAATCAAAACGGGTGGGAAAGAGACAAAAAGCTATTTTAGAATATAAATATTTGAGGCCTAATATAATTTTTTTATATTTATTAGAGTTTAACAATATTAGGAAATAATTATAGTATAACTTCATATAAGAAAATTTTAAAATTTTGTCGCCTAAGGGTCCAGCCGGCTTGACAGTCGGCCCCTCCATTACCTTCCACCATTGTCGCCATCACCACCATGGACTTCCACCCAAAAAAAAAAAAACCTCCCTAAAAATAGGATATAAAAACCTAATAACAAAAAAGAAACTAATTGCTCAATAAATTAAAAATATAAAGAAACAATTTAAAATTAAACTCTACCTAAAAATTATAAAATACTAAAAAAAATTAATAATAATATGTAAAATCTAATTATTAAACATGAATAGTAAAACCATCTTCATCAATCTTCTCCCCTTAAAAATAAATAAATAAATTGTTTATCTCAATTAGAAGTCAATTATGGCCACTAAATATGAAATAATGGGACAATGGAATAGCCATGAGATATGCATCTTATCACGTACCACGAGACCATCCAACTCTGTAGTTATCAAATTGCACTTCATCATATGTACTGGAGTATACATAACAACATCCCATATTGATTTTAAGGCCATTTGATTACATCTTTGTTGTCTTCTAGCTTAGAATCCTCTTCATCACACAATGTTCCATGTCCAGATTTTTCAAACCATCTCATCTGTTCTCTGAAGTTGTATTCTTAGAAGCCTCTTCAAGTGCACGCGATGGCTAATGTTTGGACAACATCATCATCTTTCCTTTTAATCTGATCAATTGGTTCTGGTATGTCCTTTTTATTCTTTTCCACAACAGGGTTTTGAGTGCTCACCTTGGAAATAATGTTGACTTTATTCCTACAATCTGGAACAAAGTTAAAAGACACAGAATGAATTCTACGTTAGGGTGCTTGAAAGTTGACTTTACAACATTTGGTGTTATTAGCATTGCGACTGAATCAAATGTAGATTTGTTGGCATGAATAAGAATCGTCTCCATGTATTCTATCAACATACTAATTGTACTTGGGTTAAGTGCAGAAAACCGGATGTAAAATAGGTTTTATGTACAAATAACCTCTCCTTTTTTAAAATGTGTATTTTAATTCATAAAATTTTAAAAAGTTGCAAATAAGTCCCGACCACTTTTTGATCAAAATTGACATAAAGTAAATTTAAAAACTCTAATTTGCCCATATCTCTTCATATTCTGCCTTTTTTTATCAGTTGGGTTTCACCTGTTTAACAATGGGTCTTCTCCATATTGTTTTTAATTTTTTAATATTACATAAATTTTTGTACACGTGTTTTTTTTTTTCCTATTGGGCCACCTAACCAATCAGGGTTGAAAGAAATGCGTCATTGTCTAAAATGGTAATTTTACCTTATTTTATTTTTTAAATATTATTTCATTTTACTGACAATAGGATATTATAGTCTTTTTATGTAGACGGGGAGGTATTTGCACCAAATTAAAAGTAGAGGAGTGTTTTATACCACATAAAGACTTTTTTGCACTATATCAATAGTACAAGGAGTTTTTTTTGGCACTTAAACCAACTCTATTTCTGGTGTTTTTTTTATATTGGTTGTATGACTCATAACCTAGTGGTTCGAAATTAGTAATTAACAATCGTTTCATTTTATATCACTGTACATACTGTTTTCCATGCCTCCTCCAGTTAATCTTTACTTGTTCGCACCAATTTGAAGCACCTCGCTTAAGCATGAATGCTACAATTGAAACTTGCTTATTTTCGGATGTTAAAATACTCAAAAAATTCTTCAACTTCATCAAGCTAGTCCAAGACATCGTCATCAACATAAATATTTCCATTGAAATTTACCATTTTTGTTGCGCCTATCTTGATCAATCCAAACTCCTCCTCATCAGAATAATCCGCGTAGGCTGGAGGCTCGTGTTTGATTGGTTGTGAGACACATCATCAGCATGATCCCGAACTGAACCATGAACTTGCTTGTTGCCAATCCCAAGTCCAGTGACACCCTGTTGGATAGCTTGCCACATGTGTTTCATCCGTTCAGACCGTTTGTTCCTGAGTTTGCATGACTACCTAACAGGCCTTCACTGTGCCATGATTGTCGACAAAGTAGGTGCTATCAAAACGATCAGTCACCATCAGAGCGTGGTAAATTAAGACTCTGATACCAACTGACATAGTAGAAGTTATGAAACGTTCACAAAAAACAAGGGTTACTTTGAATCTACAAAGTTGGTTAACTTTGAATTCAAAAAGTTGAACAAATTCGTAGAGAATTATGATATATTATTAATAATTGAATTGATTTCTCTTGTGCTCTTTGCAATACATACTCTTTTTTTTTTTTTTTTTTTTTTGGGTAAGTGAATATATAAAAGAAAAAAAGATAGTCACACAAAAACTTGTGGTATGCCCCAAGGCCCAACAGTAGCAACCCATTCATCATAGGTATACCTGTTAATGGATTGGATTTTGATCCGAATCCGATCCGATTAGTCGGATATGGATTAGACAAAAAATTTGATAACCCGTTTATAATCCGAATCCGATAATCCGTTTACTTAACAAATCGGATATGGATTTTACCGATCCGATCCGATAATAATCCGATCCGAATTAAAATTTTATATATATATATATATATATATAAGAGTTCAGCACTCCAGGCCCAAACCCATCTCCAAGCCCATATATATATATATATGAGTCAAGCCCCAAATCCATTTTCAAGCCCACTTCTTGTTACCAAGCCCATTAAGCCTCCTTTAATCTATCTAAACCCTAGCTCACAAGTTCACAACCACATTTTATCGTCTGTTCTCTCACTCACACTACCGTTGCCGCAAAACAACCTTTTTTCCAAACACTCCCACAATCCCACGTAGCAAAGTTGCAACACAAATCAGAAAAAGGAAGCCATCGATCGGCGATCGCTGCAAAATATTACTCCTTTCAGGTTATTGTTCTTCCTTTCTCTTTCATCCGATCTCACTTTTTATCGGAATTTTTGCTTTGATTCCTTCAAGCTCTTGGTCGAGCTTCTTTCTTTTATGACCTTTTTCCCTCAATCTGTGTTAGTTGGGAATAGAGGCCTGTAATATTCAAGTTGTGCACTCAAATCTCACCGTCCCTAAACTAGGCCTTCAACATCGGCATCCCCAAGAACTAGGGCAAGCAGGAGTCAACCCCAGCAGCGAAGAGTATCTGATGGTTAAACAGAGGAAAAGATCAGTTGAAGAACCATTGAGAGTGGAGTTTTATCTGCGCCAACTACTGGTCCTTTGCTACCTACTGAACACTGATATATATTTTACCCTAATTTGTAATGTTCCTTTTTTTTTCTATCTCATAAAATCTGTTAGTTAATTTTTTTTTTTTTTTCCTTCTATTATTCTTGTCTCTCTCAATTTGATTTTTATTAAATTTTCTGGTGTAAATATTTTCATAAATTAATCTGTAAAAACTGTCTCTCAAATTTTTTTTCAAGTTTCCTACCTAATTTGTTTGTTGATTTGTGCAAAGTGTGTAGTTACATTATCGAACCAGACTATCGGATCGGATATCCGATAATCAAACAAATCGAATACGGATTGGCTTTGTAAAAATCCGTCGAATTGTCGGACCGGATCGGATCACTCATTATACTTATCGGATTCGGATCGAATTGACCATGATCCGGTCCAAATCTGGTCCGTTGACAGGTCTAATCATAGGGGGCAGTCCATGATTTAGGTCCAAAAAATATTAAACAAGGTACAAACCAAAGAACTCCATGACAGAAGCCCATGGCCCAATCCAAATAAGTTTTCTACCAAACATTCATAGCTCAAAGGCGGTTCGGTTCCATCAACAAACATGGAGAGAACAGAGGAGGGTTCGTTACATAGGTGATCACCATGGGAGATAAGAACTGGTATGTCAAGCAGGTTCCATTCACTGGTTTGATTGGCTAGAATCAAAGAAGGTATCAGGCAGGTTCCATTCACTGGCAATTGATCTTGCAAGGGAACATTTGCTCTGGTTGATTGAGAACAACCTTGTTCGCACTGATTCAATAATGGTATTCAAGGTTCGGATAGGAAGACAAGATTGATTTCGAAACACTAAGCAGTTTATCTCCTTCCAAATGTGATACACATAGCTTGCCACAGTGAGCTTCTAGGTTAGGATCGTACTTTTCTTCAATTCCAATTTGATGATGCCCATACAAGGAATCCCTTCCATGAGTTGGGGTTCGTATAGAACCCACATTTATTTGTATCCCTTTCCACATATCTTTTGAGTATACACACCGGTGGAAAATATGCTCATATGATTCTGCTGCATTTAGACACAGAGGACACACATTGGGTTGCATTGTGTATAGATTTGCTGGCATGTCTTGTGTGAGTAGCCTCTCTTGTATAGCAAACCAAAAACAAAAGCTATGTTTAGGAATAGCATTGCTAAGCCATACCAATTTGTGCCAGTGAATTGAAAGAAGGGGTTGTGAAATGGCTTGAGAAGGCAACTGATAATTTTTCGCCCAAGAATGAAATTGGGCGAGGCCAGTTTGTGATTGTTTACAAAGGGATACTGCAAGATGGAACAATAGTAGCCTTTAAAAAGATCACAGAATCAGAAAATCAAGGCGCTGCTGAATTTTGCAATGAAGTTGAGATCATTAGCACATTAAAGCACCGGAATCTAGTACGGCTTAGAGGGTGTTGTGTGACGGATGAAGATGAGCATAATGGAAATGGAGTGTGTTGTAGATATCTCGTTTATGATTACATGCCAAATGGGAATCTCAAAGACAATTTAATTTTCTTGCCAGAAAATGTAAATCGGATTGAGACGAAACCATTGACTTGGCCTCCATGGAGGAGCATAATATTGGATGTGGCGAAGGGTCTGGCTTACCTTCACTATGGGGTGGAGCCTGCAATATATCATAGAGATATTATGTCACGACCAGACAATTTCAATAAAATCCTCAGTTTATACAAGTCGAGATAGATCAAAATACATCCGGATCACAAAGAAATGTCCTTTTTTATAAAAAATTAATTTTCTCAATTATACAAAAAAATCTCCAAGTAAATAAAATAAATCTTGAAATGTCAACTCTTCAGCCTAAGCCCGAATCTAGCAATCCCCGTCTATTTTCGGTACTTAAAATTAAAAGGTGGTGAGACAAAAAGTCCTAGTAGAATAAATCATAACAAAATTTTTATGAAAGTTTAACAAAATAGTTTCACAAAATAAACATATACAGACGAGTATAACAAAATATATATGCATTTTTTGAAAACATTTAATAAAAACATTGAAACAAAACCTCCTTACGCCATTCAAAGTATGGAGAACTCTACACTGAAAAAAAAATTTCCTCATTAGATCATCAAGTCTCCAAGTTTTTCGCTGCGCCTCTGCAACTCTCGACTCACTCACTGTTTGCTCAAACTCACTCTGTCTCGGCTCACTCTATTTTTCTCTTCTTTGCTTCGATACCCATCAGTGCACAAACACACATTTAAATAGGCAACATGCCACCAACTTCAAACAAAAAAAACATCAACCAACAAACCCACGTGCAAAAAGTTAAGCAAAGGCCAAGTGAGTCCCAAATCATTACAACCTTTCCTTCTCTGTCAACCTGCTCCCTCAACTTTTCAGCCCACCACACAGAACAATTACACCTTGCAATAAAATAATATAACCCATTTCTCTCTCCTTCTCATCACCGCACAATCCCACTTTCAGTTACAAAACCCACGTGGAGATATCAAGCTCAAGTCAAAAAGTTGCCAAAAGCTTCCAAATGGGTCCCGCCCACTACCTTTCCAAACTTTTCTTTCCTTTCTCGGCTGCAACGCCATTTCTTATCACTTCAGCAAACAAAAATATATATACATGATATATATATTTCCAGATGCAAAATAAATATATATATATAATATAAAGAAAATTACAATTACACCAAACAAACTCAAAATTTAAATAATAATAATAAAATAAAATTATAAATTAAAATTTTAAAAAAATCCGGATCATCACATATTAAGTCAACAGATATACTACTAAATGCAAATATGACAGCAAAAGTGACAGATTTTGGGTTAGTGAAACACAGACAAGTAGTGCAGCCTCATCTCATGACCACCAGAGTGGCCGGTACACACAGTTACTTGGCCCCAGAATATGCATTTTATGGTTCGGAGTTGTTATGTTGGAAATCATTATATGGGCAATTGACAGAAAATAGTGATGTTTATAACTTCGGAGTAATTATGTTGAAAATCATTTTATGGGCAATATGGTGGTAGAACATATGGCCTGAATTGAGCTTTCATACTGATGAAATATGTTGCTAAACAATGTAGACCGCCAAGGACTGAAGCAATGCTACAATGCCCAATCAGTTTTTTTGTGCGACGTGCGACTCTAGTAGATAGTTTCCAACAAGGTAGCTTGTACTGGCCAATAAACCATGTTTATAGCTTGTTATTTATATTATATATCTCTTTTCTTTGTTTGTCCTCCCAGTGGTTTTGTTTATATATTTTGATTTGTGTTTTTCAATCTTTGTTCAGTTTTGGTTTGAGAGTAACTGTCTTGCCCTCTTGTTTTCTTGTGCCTTCTAAGGTTCTTGGCCATTTTTGTTTCTGTTAGGCAACTGAGGAATGTCCTTTGTATACATGCATAGTTATCTTTGTAATTGTTATATATTTATTCATAAATAATAATAACAATAGTGTTATTTTTATTTCTTTGTAATAATTACTTTTAGATGCCTGTTCTGTTGTTTATAAACTATGTAATGAATGAAAGCCATTCTACTTCAGCAAGATACAAAACATACACCAACCATTCCATTTCTTGCTTAAGAGAGTTTGTAGAAGGAAAGCGCGAACGTATAAAGCACATTTGAGGGCCACATTACTCATAAAAGCCATAGTTGATATATAGACAGTGTCGACTCTGTTTGAAGATTCCGATGAAGTTGCAAGTCTAGATGGCCAATTTATTTAGGCCAAATGCACATAAAAATACATTTAAATGCTTACACGGAGAAGAAAATCGTAGAGTATCGGAAACGCTTTAGCTATATCCTTCACTTGTAGACCTTCAACTAAGCCTATTTACACATTATCGAAGCCATAAAATGGAGGATACCTATCCTACTGCTCGATCAGTCACATTCGCTTCAACCGACTTTCTGTGATGCATTTGAGTTTGGACAGCCTTCTCTAGCTGCATTGGCTCCTTTGTTGGCCACTGCTAAAGCTTTGTTTACAATCTCATCAACCCTTTCCACATCGTAAGCTTTCTGAGGCAGCTCGCTGTACTTCCTGATAGTAAGGCAATAAGCAATAAGAGACTCTCACAAGTCACAAGTAACTTATATGAACATCCCTGCTCCTTCCTGCAACATGGGAAGAAAGAAATTGGCCGACTTGTCTCATCTCGCCCGACTTGTCTCCAGTACACAAAATCTTGTCAGCAGCCTTGGCCAATTTCTGTGTCTGCTCATGCTCAATAGTTTTTGTAATCTCCCTTTCAGCTGCTTCCACCCTGTTTCTTGCTGTAAATTTGCAGGAACTTCATACTAATATGCTGAACAAAACAAGCTACAAATTTCTATCAAGCGCCGCATCAAAGATGATGATCAACTAGTTTTAAATCGTTCAATGTAGCTAAAAGATCATGGATATTTTTTGGGATAGTCAGAAATGGCCAAAGATATATATATGTCGGAAGCTCACTCTAGTAACTTAGGAGTGGAAGAAACCAAGTAGCAAATACTAGCGGCAGCCACTGACTCCCTAAAATCAGAAGACAGCGAGTTTGTCGATTGATGCACCTTTATATATATGTTATTCATACGGTGTGTTCCGGCAGAAATTAACAAAGACCTGCAAATGGTCAGTACGTCCAGCAAAAAAATTGGATACATAATCCTAACCAGTGCCATTGTCTGCTTTTGTTGGCGCATAATGCTAGTAGGCAGAGTGTGTGGACCTAGTTTCATCACTTCAATGTTATCATCTCCTTTCTTTATCTACATTCATGAAAGTAGCACAAGCAAAAGAGACACAAATATATATATATATATATATAGAAAATGAAGATTAATATATTTTAATCCAAAAATATGTGTAAAAGAGTGTAAAATAAAAAAAAAGAAGAAGAAAGAAATACGAGGATAATTTCTGGTATTTAGTTGGAATTTGTAATGAAATGTGGAATCTTGTATATTACTAGCAATGATTCTTTTGTACCTGTCCCATGAAAAGATGACGTGAACTTACGGTAAAGAGAGTGACAATGAACAGCGAAAGAGGAGAATAAGATGGAGTTTTATGGCCTTGAAAAAACTCGGATCAGAAAAGATTTACCTTGTATGGTTGTATGCCATAGAGGTTCGTTCAATACAAACACAAAAAAGGCCTCTACATGTGAGGCATTGACAAAACCGAAAACGGCCACAAAAATACGCTGACTTTATGCATCACAAACATAAAGCATATGCTTTATTATAGCTTAAGCGAATTTAGTAGTAATTAAACAAATTAGGCACAAACCTCCAAATAGTTTTGACACCCTCCTACTTCATAAACTCTAAAATTGGGCTTAGATATTATTTTAACATGGATAGATTAATAAACATTAAAACATGATAAGTATATCTTTAATTTAATTTCTTTCTTTATTTAATTTTATTTTTTTTGGTTTAGGTATGTGAATATATCTTTAATTTTTTTGCATTCTAGTTAAAAAGGTATTGGAGGCCTATTTACTACATATAGTATAATTTTTGTTGGCATTATTATTTTTTAATAGATTCCAATTTTCAAGAAAAATGACCATTGTGTTGAAATTAAATGATATAATTCCAATATAATTTTACTTAGGGAGTATAATATGTGATAAGAATATTATTATTTGTGAGAACAGAGAATTATTCCAACAATTTCACCTTATTCCTAGGCCGAACTCGCTTGTCCAACCAAGAGCAATGAAAAAAAAAAAAACAGAGCTCGTACAAAAAAAGAAATGCTAATAAAAACAATGATTTATATCGAATTCATTCTAACCCTTGTGATAGGAGGTCAACAAATGAGAGATATATATAACATGTAAACTAAATCAGGAAGAGGAGTGGATTATGTTATAGACATTTATAACATGTAAACAATGATTTATATTGTATATTCATTCTAGTCCTCGTGATTGTTCTGATTTTGATCTGTTAATCAACATATGGAGCTAGAAACATTATATAAATGTTGTCTATTTAAAATTTCAGTTCTTAGAAATAACAAATCCAGCTCTATCACACTGACTTGCTAACTTCTAACTCATTGGTTTGAAAATTTTATTTGAAGGTTCTTTTATTTTATTAATTAATTAATTAATTTTTTTAAAGGATTTCAATTATGATATGCTATTAATTCCAAAAACTTCAGCTTACACTCTTCGTCCACAGCCATATTCAAATTCGCCTAACAAAAAAATATGCCACAGAAGCCGTGAACTTTCGGTGTGTGTGTGAGAGAGAGTTTAATTTTACTTATAATCCTCTTTAAATTAATGGAAGAGCCATTGCAATCAATATGAGAGGACCTTTTTTTCTTTTTTCAGTGTGAGTTTCCTAAAAGGTTGTGTTGGACTTTGTTGGCCTTCTTAAATTGAAGTTTGATAGTATAAATTTCTTTGCGAAGAATTGGTGGAAAAAGAACCGAATTTGTTAGTAGAACTTTGTTTCATCCATATGGAAATTGTGGTTTTATAGAAATCAGATTTGACGTGACGAACAGTCTTAATCAATGAATTAATATTGTTAATTCTATTATAAGGCTGATACAATGAATAATATCGTGCAGGACATTGTGGATCAACTGGGAGATAGATTTTCATATAGCACGTTCAGGTTGCAAACTATCTGGCTGTTGGATCTGTTGTTGATTTGGTTTGCTTTGTAATAAGACTTTGCTTCCTAGGAGGAAAACAGTTGCTGCCTACTCATTTATACATAAATAAGTTCGGTTATACTCAATATTCTATGTGAAATAATTCTTGTACCATAATTAATTTTTGTTCGGTTGTTAAAAGAACTGTCTCGTTGGTAATGGTGTTCCTGAAGCATTGCTAGTGTAGTTATGTTATAGTACTAATTGTGTGCGTAGATGTATGTTGAATGTGATTGATGGCCTGAAAAATATTCTGAAAACATCATATAAATTTGTTTTTCACAAGTAAATTAAATTTACTAAAATGTAAATATCAGTATAAATAACTTGACGAAGACTTATTAAGGTCTCCTCTTTGGACATCCAAGTTTAAAGGTTCTAGTATTCATTGAGACAAGAATAAATGTGTGACGATGGTGGAGGATTCAAGTTTCTATATTCACTTAAAATTGTTGTAATTCACCAAAACATGTGGTTTAGTGTCATCTTCTGTCTTTTCAAAATTAAATGTATAAAACTAAAGTCACGCATTATGGATGTTATATCGTAGCATAAAAAATAGTTGGGTTGACCAGAATTTAGAAAAATAAAAGTTGACAACGTGTCTTCTTTCTATTAAGTTTCACTTTTCCACATGTAGGATTATTCCATTCAAATAATGCAATTATTGAAGAATAATTGATAGAGAGAAATTTAATTTTGTTTTTCCACAAGCAAGATATATTTGGAGCTTCACCAAGACTTGGTAAGGTCTCCTCCTACTTCAAAATTGGGACAATAGCGAGTGCATGTGTGCGTTCGATTAATTTTTTAATGTGTATACATTGGGTCTTACCTCTATTATAGTTAATTAGATCAAAGGGTTTCTGAATATACATGGTTCAACTTTGTTAGTGTCTTACTTTCTTTTTGTTTTTATTTGCTTCACATTATTTCTTTCCCTTTGTGTGTCTCGGATACTTAATTATTTACTTGTATTATTTACGTGCTCTGCTGTTTTATAAAACTAAAAATTAAACATTGAATTGAATTATCAATTCACTACACCTTAATAACTTAATTATATATATAACATATTTAGTTTTAAATGACTTCTCCCTTCTTTTTTTTTTAAAAAAAAAAAGGAGAAAAAAAAGAAAAAGATAAGGAACCTTTGATTGTTTTTTGAATATTGAGTTATCAGTCTTTGATTGTTTTTTGTTTTTGTTTGTTATTTCTTCTGATTTTTGTTTTCCATTGCTTTCACAACTATATTTGTTTTACTCCCAACTTGAGAAAATGATTCCACCTCTTTCTTATGCTAATTTTAAGTCTCTTAGAGTGCTGCATATTTCCAACAGCCATATCAATCT